GCCGAGTCCCTTTGGGGTGAGATTTGTGGGAGACTGCTCCGTGCCTCAGTTTCCCCATCAAGGATCATTGCATTAACGGGGCTATGGGTACGTGGAGGTCATTCTATAGCAGGACCCTTAACAAGTGCATACATCGTTAGAGCAGGGGAAGCCTCACCAGGAACTGGGGAGGAGCTGGGTGGTGGTGAGGGTGCTGGGTGCTCCCTGCACCCGGATCACAGCCCATGGCGGTGCTTCCGCTGTTCTTCCGGATGGCAGTGGGGCTCCATGTCTTCCTACAGACTTCTGCTGGCAGATGCTCCCTTTGGCTGGCTGAGCCTTCTTGGAAGTTGTTTGGAGAACAATGGACCAGATCATGGGGCACGGGCAGGGTCAGCATCTTGGCAGTGGGTGCTTTGTTCCAGGAGGAGGAAAATACTTTCCCCAGCTCAGAACTGGGCCAGGGAGAGAATGTTCTTGCCTGTGCTGGAAGCGGATGTTGCAGGAGGAGGTCTGCGTTGTGCTTGATGGTGCAGAGCAGGCGGGTTTGTCCCAGTTCGGGGTGGTGAGGTGCTGCTGTGGACAGGCTGGGGCTGGAATCCCTCACGTGAAAACCCTCACTATGTGCCCCGAGCTAAACACTCCTTCGCTCCTTACGCAAACCCAGCCTGAGATTTCATAACTCCCAACTGTTGATACAAGAGGAGAACTGGATTTCTGCAAGGAAATAAAACACCCAGCAGGGAAGGGGTCGGGGAAGGTGCTGTGCAAACTTGCCAAGCCCCTCCTCTGTGCAAAGGAAAGTATTTTGGCTTTGCATGCAGCTCTTGGCCAGAGCTCTAGAGCTGTGGATTTAAAGCATGTGTAGCATGGTGAGCACTGTGCCCCGTACCCAGTGCAGTGGCACTGTGCGGGTGGACGTGTCCCAGGAAATCATAATGGTACCATTTAAACTCTGCAGTAACGGCTGCCCCTTTCCTCCCAGGTTTTAGATCTGCACAAGATCCAAGATCCAGGACCATGGCATCCATCCCATCGAGCGGCTCGCTCATGGCCACGCACAACTACTACAGAAGTAAGGATGGGTGCTGGGGTGGGCTGGGTGCTCAGCCAGCCTCCGGCTGATGTGGCTCCAGCAGAGATGAAGCTTTCAGCTGACACCCCATAAGCGCTCCTTGCTGGGGAAGCGGGGCACGAGCAGCCACACACCTTGTGCTGGGACCCTCCTTTGGGGCTCCTGCCCCATTGGACCGGCTGGAGAGAGGTCTTGCAGTCTTCTTCCCTTGTCACTAAGGATGTAGGTGAGGGGAGGTGGTGGCTTCAAATGTGTATGGAAATGGGTTATGGAAATGAGCTGCAGAACCAGCCTGGGCAATGGTGCCTCTCCAGGGGAGAGACTTCCTGGTTTAATGGGTTGCCTAAACCAGAGGGGATTAAAGTATTCCCCTTGAGCTGAAAGCAGTGACAGGATTTGTGGAAGCACAGAATATGGGGTTGGAAGGGACCTCATGGATCGCGGCTTGTAGGGATCTAAAGCTGGGCCAGTGCTGGACAAGGTGGTGATGAGACTGAGCCGTGTCACCCCGGGGATGGCCACACCAAGGCCATGCTTTGCTTCTCATGGCACGGCCGAGGGTCAGTGTTGGCTCTGATGGCTGTGATTGCTCCACAGGGCGCCTGAGCTCCACATCCAGCAACAGCTCCTGCGGCAGCTCCCCGAACCCCGGGGGGGGCTC